AAAAAAAGACGTTTAAGTGCGCCTTATATTCGTGAAAATACGGTATGTGAAAGTTTGGAGATGAGTGATAACTGATTGTAGAAAGTTGGTGAGCTCTTCACACCATGCACTTTAGCATCCACGGACCACACTCTGTCCATTTATGGCCTACCACTTGGTGGCTGAGCCGCTGTCCTTCCCAAACACTTCCACTTTATTAGAATACTGTGGAATTTCCTGTAGTGACAACACTTCCTGACTGGATTTGTTGCTCAGGTGGCATCCTAATCACAGTTCCGAGCTGGAATTCACAGAGCTCATGAGAGCAAGATCCATTCTTGTTAAAACTGTCTGCATGCTGAGGTGCTAGATGTTATATTTCTGTGGCCATGGAAGTGACCGGAACACCTAATTCCAATCATTTGGTTCTCAGGTTTCACATGGGAGGGGGGACTATAACCAGTCAGATTTTTACTAGGATTTAGAATTATATAAACCTGACTTATAGTGTGTAAAATACACAGATTCTACAATGCTAGTATTTATTAAGGACTAGTGAGGCCAAAATGGCTTCACTCCACCAACTCTGCACACACCATGATCTTCTGATGGTCATTCTGTTCCACTTTGCTTTTCAGTATTGTTACAATTTGGACTTCACAAACATGTTTCTACACAGCATATAAGTCAGCTTTACTTAAGCAGGAGTCTGGTTTTTGACTAGAAAAATAAAAATTTTCATTCCATTTTGTTGTAGACTCTCTGCTCGGTTTAGGATGATGATAAAGAACATTAAAGTAGCAAGCATTTATTTCGTTTTTTTTTTTTTTTTACCAACAGTGTAAGGGTTGTTTTTTTCAGCTTCTACCATATTGGAGAAACCACAGGGCAGAAGCTGTAGGTTATAGAAGCATGTGCGACCTTATGTGTCCCTGAGGTCACATGAGCTATTTACATTCATCACATTTATCCATACATTGGATAAAACCTGCAGAGCGGCTGTAAGCCCTTCACAGTAAAAATGCTGATCTCTTCATCTGTCAGCTGACCAGGCAAAGAAAACCGTCAGGCTCATTTTGGAGCGAAAGCTGTCCAGAACTCTCCTGTATTCTTCAACTTCATCAAAGCTCCTTCAACAAAAATATCAAAACAAGAATATGAGGGATTACTGCTGTACAATGTTTGTTTTTTTATGAAAAAGGAAATAAACTTCACCTTTAAAACCAGAGTATTGAATAAATTTTACAGTGATTTGCTTCTTTACTTGCGGCAGGACCTGCTGAAGCACACCCCTAAGGACCACCCCGACTTCCCCCTCCTGCAGGACGCTCTGCGGATTTCTCACAGCTTCCTTTCCTCCATCAATGAGGAGATTGACCCTCGCAGAACCGCCGTCACTACACCTAAAGGAGAGGTGGGCGGAACTGCTATATATATTCTTTATTTATCTAAAACCACAACCTCTTCAACAGCAGGCCTCACACACACAAGTTAAATATATTTAGGTGACACCTCCCTCTGAGATCACAGCTGTTTTACTGCAGTGTGCATGTTTCAAACAAACATTAGTTTATGGGCTCAGGAGGAAACCCCCTCTGCTGTCCTTCCAGGCCCGTCAGCTGGTGAAGGATGGTTTTCTGGTGGAGGTGTCTGAAAACTCCAGGAAGCTGCGACACGTCTTCCTCTTCACTGACCTACTTCTATGTGCCAAGATGAAGAAGACGGCAGTGGGGTGAGTACATCTGTTGGATTAAACTCAAACACCATGATTCAGTCTCCTACTAGAACTGATCTCAGACTTCAACTCAACTAAAGACGTTACTTATACCTGTTGTCAGGCATTCGAAATCTAAAGGGCTATCACATGTAATCGGGGGTGGAAGTGACTTTGAGACGTTCAGGTTGAAGGTTCATCTTTCTCATCAGCTTCCACTCAGACGTATTTAAAGATGATGTCTGCATTCCAAGCAAACTTTAAAATGTTAAAGGAAAAACTTTATCTGCAGTCCGTTCAGAAACCGAAGGTTCCCTCATTCTTTTATTACACTATTCTGAGAGGAGGTGAAAACAAAACTTTCTAAGATTCTGTATGTAACCTTATACAGGAATTAACAGGACTTCACTGCATCATAGTTTTGACACTGGAGAATCTACAAAATAAAAGCCTTTTTAAGATTTTTTAATTTCCAGGCTATAATTAATCATTCTCTGCTGGATTTTTTTCTTCAAAAATAGATGCATATTAGATTAGATGAGCTTTATTGATCTCACAGCGGAGAAATTCACTTGTCACATATTGGCATATCGGTGCTTCTCACAGGTTAAATGTATTCTTTATACCGGAGGTCTTCAACAGGAGGGTCCACAGAGGTACTGCATGGGGGTCGTAAAAGTTTTATGAATTAGACTTTATTCCCCCCCCCTGCAATTTTTTCCACTAATTGAAATGGCTTTAAATGCACATTAACATGAATTCCACACACTGTGGTAAACAGATAAATGGAATTAGATTATGTCTTTCAGTCATCAATGCACAAATTCAGCGACACACAGGAGCTCTTTCAAGCAGGGCACCGTTTCATTCACAACACCTGTCCCATCAACCAGAAATCAGAATCAAAAATACTTTAATAATCCCAGGAGAAATGAATTTCTTTGCATTACTCCATCTGTAATAGAGTGACTATAGGACCAGTGTGATATAATTATGGGGTCCTTTGCCTGGAAAACTTTGAAGACCCCTGCTTTATACAATTACAAAATATTGTTCTGCAGTTTGATACTTTTTTCCCCATTTTATATGTTAAATAAAATCAACTAAAAACCATTTTATTTCCGTATTTTAAATAAACCCAAATATGAAATCAATAGATGAATTAAAATCCAACATTGAATTAAAGGGACTTAACAAAATCCTTTGTGAGTGTCTCTCGTTTCCAAATCCCAGATATAAGGGCCGGTGTCCTCATCGTTTTAGATGCATCACTGTCTCGACACACGTTTCAAACGGTTGACGTTCTCAGAATGTCAAGTTCTGTTCACGCCTGATAATGGTGTGTGTAGTTTCAGAAACATACAGGAAACATACAGGACTTTAAACACCACAGTTCTATATATGTAGTCAGTGAAGGATGTAATTAGAATCTTGTTGCTTTTAATTCCCAGACTTTTTATTTCATGAGCCTGGATCAACAAATCCAAGCACATTTAGGGTCGGGTTTGGTTCATTTCTTTCAGTGCAGTGTGATCTTTGTTTATCTGAGTTCATTTCATCCTGACATTAGTCTGTAGATTCATTTTGCTGTCCCATCTGGGTGGGTAACCTCTACTCTATAGGGAATCCCTCTTTCTTTTTATTATTTAGCGCTTTAACAAAAAATTAAGACGTCTGAATGTTGCTGCTTGTTCAAATTTCTTTATGACCCCTCCTTTAATCCTTTAAGCCCTTTTTTGTGTTCTCATGCTTCATGTTACCTCCTTTCACCCCACAATGGAAGTAACTTAGTGTTGCCATAACTACCAAACCAGGAAGTCGACCAATAAGGTCTGTGCTTTTATCTCAGCAGACAAACCCCCATCAGAGCATCCATCCAGAAACTCAATCACCTTGTGTTAAATTACTGAGGATTGCTAATCCTTTTCAATCCCAAGGTTATCGCAGTTATTTCAGATGATTTTAATTCATATTTATGATGCCTCTTTTTATATGTACTCCATCGTTGTCTTGTATTTATATTCTGCTTGACATTGCTACTACTGCACAGATTATTCCTTACATTTCTAATTGGGCCCCGTTTATAGTCTGTTCCATTAAGTGTTAAGAAGGTGGAAATATCTGAAAAATACATTTGACATGAATGTTGGGGCATTCAGCATTCAGTGAAACACAGAGCACTTAAATAAGTACTTATTTCTCTTTGTTAGTATGATAATTATGTGATAGTCATAATCTGTATTCACCATTCACCTCCCTACTAAATAAGGATTGTAGCCTCATATGCAACATTTTCAAACTCATGTAGTTACCAAGTTCATTATTAATTCTTTACACTGAACACTGTCACCACAACTCTTAGATAATCTTGATTTCATAAAATTACAATAGGTTTGAGCTAAACAATGACTGAGATGGGGACAGAAAACTCTAAAGTAGTAATGGCAACTTCTCGTATTCTTAAAGTAGTGTCAGGATATACAGTAACAGGATGTTTTCTGATCATTAACAAGAAATGTATTTTAGATCTTGAAGTAAAGGAGACTATGAAAAGCAAACTGTGAGAGTCAAAGCCTTATCATTGTGATGCAGCGAAGCATTCAGACCCAACCCTAAGGTAGAAAGACACCTTCAGTCACCCATCAGTGGGAAAAGCTGATTTGATGGAGTGCTCTGTAATTCAAAAACACAAAGCAGGTCCATCTCTTATGCTACAGGCTTATAGTTTCTTAATGATGATAGCTACTAGTTTAACTCCACCCAACCAGTAAGTGTCACACCTAATGCTCGCCCGCTTTTATTTTGTAGCATTTGGCAGCTGGTTACCAGGTGTGCTAATGCTATTGCTGGATAATTGCAGTGTTAATACTGTTTACAGGTGGACTCTATGAAAGTGGACCTGCTATAAAATTTCACCTTTTCATGGTGGCTTTTGGAAATGTTTTCAGTGCTAAAACAACCCATTAATTTGTTTTTGTCAATAAGGTAAATGTTTTGTTGATGTCTAAAAAAACAAAAAGACAAAGCTTTTACGGCTGTACCATGATTATCTGTATCCATTTATATGTTTATCCCAGTGTAAACAATGAGTTGCCTAAAATTTCCAAAAGGAACTGAAACTGAGGAGGTGAAATCTCCTTATCTGAGAGGGATTATAAATTAAAGATGTTTTGACATGTTCTTTATGGCCCATAGAGCTATCCATACTTGATAAGATGGAAATATGTTAGTATGGACTCTACATTAGCTGCCTGAGCAGCTAATGTATTAGAATAGAGTGCTCTGCCTTCATAAACTACCAGTTAATGAACTCTTCTTTGGCCTTTATCAAGTGGAGCTAGTCCGTAAGTCCATTCCTCTATGTTCAGGTTGATTTAACCCACTTCACACAGACATGCGTTTAAATCAAACGTTAAAGAAAAGTAATGGAAGGCAGCTGAAAGATGGTGCTCTTATTTATTGAATTAGTGATCTTGGATGGATCTGCTAGAACGACATAGTCTTATGTCAAGGATCTGTGAATTAGGAATAATTGCTTGAACTATTGAACTAATAATTGGAACTAATTAATCTTCTTTTCCTCCCTTCCCTCTTCTGCCTATTGTCTGTGCGCATCCGCAGTCGCCACCAGCAGTATGAGTGCAAGTGGTACATCCCTCTGGCAGACCTAACTTTCCAAACCCTGGACGAGTCGGACTCCTGTCACAGCATCCAAGTCCTGCCCGAGCATGAGATTGAAGAGATGAAGATGAAGATCTCAGTTTTAAAGAATGAGATACAGAAAGAAAAGGTACGCTTTAAAAAGATTAGATTGAATGAATGAAAAGCTTTTTCCAAACGATATTTCTTTTGTTTTACACTTTTGTAAACAAAATGACAAAAAAAATCTGTCTCTCTAAAGTCTAAAGCTGTTAGGCTACGAATCTTAGAAAAGTTTGCATTGCTTAATTCATCTCTCAGATTGGACTGAATAATCTTAAATGTTGTGATTTAAAAAATACCTGGACCAGTGATGCAGGTGCTTCCATACTGAAACGGCTGCATCTTTAATTTGAACTGAGATTTTGTTCATCCTTGCAGGCTGGGCTGAAATACCACAGGCTGTAAAATATGAAGCAAAGGGAAATTCAACATTGTTTCTATGTGCATAATTTAATATACAGTTATAACTGAAGCATTTGTATTATGATTTGTTCAATAACACACTCTTTGCTTTATTGTGTTTCTGCTTGGTACTTTTTTTTTTTTTTGACCCACTTTGGCCAAACCTGGTTTTATAGACAAGCAGATGGTTGCTTAGATGTACCCTAACACAGACATTACCTTCTTAAGGACTGGTGTGGACATGCCCCCACCAATAATATTAATACATAGACTTTGGCTCAATATGTGGGACAAATTTCTAAATTAGATTTTTCGGATTTTGAAGGAGGATAATCACTGATGTAGCTGAAAGTGAAACCATCCAATCAGTCAATCCAATTTTTTCTGGATGGATTGATGGATGGATGAATGAAACTGAAATTGTGTCCATACTAGGGAGGCATGATATATTGCTGTTGGCATCATAACTGGCTGTTATTCATCCTTTTTTTTATATGCATTAATGTCTAAATACCCCTAAATATAAATATCAGTTGATTTTGGTTCTTTTGTGTTCTCAACAATAGGAAAGCATTCAATAAATATGTTTGAGCTCAAGTTTGGAAAATACACACCCTATTGAAAGTGTTTGTGTCAAGTAACTTTAGGTCCATCAGCCACCACCCTTAGAGTCTCTCATCACAAAGTTACACCCTTGCATCCTATTAAAGTTTTTTCCCCCCAGATTTTTTTCCGCAGAACCTTCCAGACAGTATTTGAATTCATTCTACTATACTGTAGAAAACAGTCTGGTTTATGTAAATTATTTCTGCTCATACCAATAAAGTTTTTCCTTCTAATACTGGAGGAAATCTGCTTTGAGAGATTCCTAAAATCATTATGTCTTAGCTCTGGTTTTTGGCAGTAAAAGTATAAATAAATATCCCGCCACTGTAATTACAGTTTACACCTCATATATATCACTCCAAACTTAAAAACTGTATCTGTAAGAAACTTTGTATGGATATTGCAGATGGTTACTTCCAGTTTCCTACTTTGTCTCCCTCCCAGCAGGTTCTTTACATCCATCTTTCATTATTATTTCAGAGGTTATCCTCTGAAACTGATTTGAAATACCTTAATAGCTAAACCTTTTATATTGATTGAAACATGCCTGGTGTATTTAAACCGAGTCTTAAACGTGTGCACACAATAGCCTCTTTTACATTTTTGCCCTGATCTGTCCTTTCCAACAATCAAAACAACGCCCCGATGATTGCAATGTCCCTGCTGTGTGTGGTGTGTTAGGACAGATCTAGTCTGCTTGGAGGACGCCCTCACTACTCTGAAAATCAAGGAATCCATCATGTTGCATTCTCCTGGCCTGATATACTAGCATGTTTGGTGTATGCGACTGTAGATAAGGAAGCAACCTGATAAAGGTGACCGTTAGCCAATCAGTTAGTGATTCCCAAGGGGAAAATAGCTAAAAAAAAACACCCATTTGAACAAGTAGAACCCCTGCTTGTGTTGTCTTCGGTCCTTTAACAAACACCTTTTCTTATTTATTTATTTATTCTTTTCTGCACTTAAGATTAGTCTACAAAGTATCCCCAATGCTCCTTTCTCAGTTGCTATGTTTATTCTGCAGTTTTATTGCCTCTTGTTTTGTGAGACTTCCTGTCTAACGGCAGATTTTTAAATAAAACTTGTTTGTTTGTGGTGTGCTTGTTGTGGTGCTGCAGGTCCAATCCTGTCATATGTGTGATTTTCTTTTTTCCACTAGGCATATGTAGGGTCTAAGCAGTTTTTAAAATGTTTTAATAATTTAAAAATGCCGGTGTTTGAACCAGGCTTAAAGACACAAAATTTTTTCTAAAAATAAAATAGTATTTAATCCTGTTTTAAACTGAGCAGAAACTGTTTAGAGGTTTAAACTGTGTCTGAAATTCTAATCATCGTCCCTTTAAGATTTTGCACAAATAGTTGAGTGTAGGTGTAAGAAAAGCTTTTTACCTTTGTAACAGAGGAAATGATAAAAAAAAAAAAAATCCTGATTCTAGAAATGAACTTTAAATTGCTCCAAATCTCTGCAACCCAAAAGCTTGACGGCTGCTACAGGATTTTATTTTTGCTTTTCTTCCGACTTGCCCCAGCAGATCAAAGCAAAATGCCTCCACTCTTATCATGCATGTTCAAAGAACACAGTGCTACTTTAAAATGTGCCATTGTGTCAACATGTCCAGTAAATGCTAAAAAAAATCTGTTGCTAAAAAGAGCAGAAATATCAAGTGTTTTGACTCCTAACAGTTTCAAGTACATTCAGTAGTTCACAGTGCCGTCCAGGCCGATTTGGATCACAGTCATCAGGAGCAGAAAGTTCCTGTTATTACCCTCTCACAGCGTTTGACTCGCCCACCCGGGGCACATTGAGCGACCACTGTTGATATTTACAGGCACTGAGGCCCGTGGAGAGAGAGACTAGTCTGATTGTTGTCTGAGAAACTCTGACTCATAACTTCCTGGTGAAGGCTGAGAGTAATTGTTTGTTTTATTTTCTTTCGTTGCTGAAAAGACACCGCTGCAATTATGCCGCTAATTGCATAAGGCTTACTTTTTACATGTCCTCCTGTGTTTTTATAAAGAAAGCCTGAGACCTTAATGAACCAACTCTATGCTGAATGTGAGCTTTCCAAATGACTGTTAGTGAAGATCTCTTAAAAAATCTAAGCAAGAAAACAGCAAAGCACAGACTGTTTGGCTTGTTGCTGCTTGTTTGTGTGACACATTAGCGCTTGTTTTTGCATCAGTGAAGTTATCAAAAATCTACATCTGACTGAATAAATTAGACCAGTGTTGGTAGATCCAACGTCACTGGAATTATGCAGTCCCAAATGTCCTTATAAGACCCCATTTATATTGAAATAAAAGCACTTTCAGATTTAAAACAAATTCTGATTAGATGACAAAAACTGCAAATACCACAATATAAAATGGATAATATTTTGCCAGCAAGTTTTGATGTTTTATTTAGGGATTTATAAACTATTTTGTCAAAGTCAATTAGAGAACTCTCACTTTCCTTTGTACATAAAAAAATACAGTCTCCTGAATTTTGAATACATTTATCCTAGTTTCTTTTTTATGCTTTTATGCGGATGTCTGATGCTTGAAACGCTTCAGGATGTGTCACATCAGATGGTCGACACTCACTACAGGATTTCTCTACATCTGTAGATGCGTGTCCACCTTTGACTTAATAAAACTATCGACCTCACATTGCAGAAATTTACCTCTGCATTTAACCCACCCCCTAGGGGAGCAGTAGACTGCCATTGTGTGGTGCCCGTGGAGCAGTGTCTGAGGAAGCGTCTTGCTCAGGAACCCAGAGTGGAGGCTATAGGGATCATACCGGGTACTTGCAACCTTCTCAGAGCGCAAGCGCACTGCTCTAACCACCAGGCCAACACTCCCCCACTTTAAATGTAAACTAGCTGTCTGTGCACTTAAAACGTGTTTGGTGTGAACGCAGCATTACACTGGGACTCATTCATACACAGATGCACAACATCTGATCTGTTGGAAATCTGAGTGTTAGTCCTATCACATGAAGCATATGTCATAGCCATAAGGTTCAGACTAAAAATACAAGAACTGCAGGAACTTAAACACAATTTAGAACACACTTTTGGCTTTGCAAAACTCTTTTAGCTACAGGTTTACATTTTCCAATAGTTAAGAACTAAAACAACACAATTATGGTAATAATAATCAGATAAATAAGAATCAGATTAATCAGATAATAATCTGATTAATTGAATAAATAATAAAATACGTGCACAAGCTTTTGTCGCAGTCACTATATATAATAGATGAAAAAGATTAAAGCTGTTTCTATTGGATATCAGCCTTCCTTTATGAGCATTTTTAAAATATATCTCATCTTTAAGGGAAAAGGGATGTGTGTTAGGTTCCTGCAAGTGTCCGCTTCTGCGAAGCAGCAAGTTTTTTATGGCCTTATATAAAGAAATAGGGCAGGGAGCTTTACCTTTTTTTAATGCGTTGCTTAAATCAATACTAAGTTACTTTTTAACCATCATAAAACATTTCCATATCTTTCGTGATAATATATCGAAATACAGCTAGTTGAGTGACACCTCTGTCATGGCCTGAGGGGGTCTGTATTACTGGGGGGGTGCAGGAATACAGCGCAAACCAAAGTTAAACGTTTTTTTATTTTCAACACTGTCGTATGAGACTGTTTAGCCACAGTTAGATTCATTGCTTCATTGCTATTCATCTTTCAGAACCACTGGAAACAGAACTGTGGTTCAATTCAACTGCAGGTGACTGGGAGATCAGGATTTGACCACGCCATTCACTGGTCCTCATGGGAAATGCTGTCTTCCTCTAGGCAAAACAATACGGCTTTTGTCCACTAGGAGGAGCCAAAATCAACCAAAACTGAAAGAATTTTAGTCCTGCTTCAAATACAGAAATAAAAGTGATTTTTTTTTTTATTCCGTTTTTAGATTATGTCTAAATCCTAACCCTAACTTAAATAGTTGGGATCTAATGACTTTACCAAACGAAAGGCAGCTGATGGAAGGCTCTGAATGTGACAGAATGCTGTGATTAGCATCTTCTGAAGCTGGATGCTTCTATCCATTTTTAAAGATAGATGTTCACAACATATAAACTGCAAAAATATCTTCATCAATTTCTACTAAGCATATGATAGCCTGTGGAGAGATTTGTGCATCAAATTCTTCTCAGTTTGATAACTACTTTGTCATTTTCCTAAATAAATATCAATAACTACAAATAATTAGATGTTGGATAAAAGAAAAAAAAAACAAGAGTGAAAAGAAAACAATGTCTTCTTGAAATCTCTGATCATAAATTCATGCTGGATCTAGAGTTTAGTGTTGTGATGAGAGTTTAGCTGTGGGTGAAGCCCCTCTCTTGCTCCTAGCAGGCCTTTCTGTCTCAGGTACCAATATACACCCTCTGCAAACTACTTGTTTTTCTGTGTCTGTGCAGAAAGCTCCAAAGGGTCAGAGCCGTGTGGAGCGTCTGAGGAAGAAGATGAACGAACAGGAGTCGTGGTTACTCCTGCATTCCCCCACCATCCCCTTCCGAATCCAAAACAAACATGGGAAGGTACTCATGGCCAAGTCCTGCCACTAGAGAGAGCTGTAAACCTTTCAGTGTTCTAGCCAATTAGAGCCAGAATCTCTGCAAATAGATAAAGCTTTCAAATCGTTTTATTATTCCATTGATTCTTTAAAAGTATTCTAATGAAAAAAACGTGTATATTGATGAAAGTATTTTTTTTTTCCTGTGATTTCAGAGCTATTTGTTTCTTCTCTCTTCTGATTATGAGAGATCAGAGTGGAGAGAAAGCATGCAGAAGCTCCAGAAGAAAGGTAACTCAGCCTTTAAATGAAATCATTTATTATTCATAAAGAATGAAATATTTTACTCTATAGAAATGTAACCAAATTTTTCTATTTCTGTGTTCAGATCTTCAGGCGTGTGTGTTGAGTTCTGTGGAGCTCCAGGTTCTGACCAGCTCCTGCTTCAAACTCCGAACTGTCCACAACATTCCCGTCACCAGTAACAAAGACGGTACATCTTCCATGTCCCTCACAGTGTCCCTTTCATCCTTCCTCTCTTCCCAACTGTTTCAGTTTGATTTTACAGAAAAATGCGTTCTTTTCCCCCCTCCTATCCGTACAGCAGAGCCCTAGAAAGAAAGCAGGGCCCCTTTAGGAGATGAATCAGGGATACAATATGTTTCTGATCTCGCTCATGGCGGTCACTGCCACACCGTGTGTCTGCGCTGAGCCCCCAGCCTCCTGTGTTTGTTTTTGCTTCAGATCGCAGCGTTGCAGCTCCTCAGAGAGACGGGGGGGTGACATTAAAGCCATCTGGCCGACCCGCTCTGATCCCCTCTCAAATGCCAGGAGGTTCTTACATTCACTCAGAAGGCAAACAAACCCCTCAGTTTCAGCGCATCCCAAAGCACATGGTTTGACTCTTGCATAAGAGAACCTTGGCGCGAGCCTTTAGTGCGCTATCAACAGCCTTCAATGTGGCGTTAGGTTTGTTACTTTAAACACTGAAGGGCTTTAAAAGGTCCCTGCAGTCGTGTTTTCATATTAAAATTCTCACACTGGGGCCACAACTACAGCCCTCTAAGCTTTGTTGTTTGCTCCCTTTAATTCCAAACCCGACTCTGCTTGTTTTCCTCGACACACAGATATTCATTCCCTTTGGACTATATACATTTGTCACAAAACAGCCAAAAACTTAACAAACTTGGCACATCAGGCCAGCATAGATAAAGAAAGAATTATTAAGCAGGTGTAGAAGGTTACAGGTTATTCACAGGTAAAAGGTTGAACCTGTTATTTTAAGGCGGACCACCTTTTGCAGCAGTACAGCTGCAGGTGTATTCTTATTCCTCTACAAGCAGAATTTAGGAGCCTTAACCCGCTCTGGATTTAGGGCTGTTCTAGCAGCAGAGATGTGTTCTGATCCAAACTATCCCCTGTAGCTTTGGCTGTATGTTTAGTAAGATGAAAGGTGAACCTTCGCTTGCTCTCAAGTCTTTTGCAGCCTCTAACAGTTTTATTTGCCCCCCTCCACATCTAGAAATAAGAGAAATGTCTTAAATTGAGACTATTTGCCCTTGGAATTTGTATTTTTTATCTTAAAGTGACATAACTAGATATTATTAAATGTAAATTTTCTTGTTCCAATGGCAAAGTATCTCATTTACCTCCTCAATTCAGGAAAAAGGCACTCCTCTCTAGAAAAAATAACTAATTGAGATTTCAGTATTTGCAGTGTATTGAAAGTTTGCAGTCTTCCTGCTTCTCTACTTCTGATGCTCTTCTTTTCATCAAAGATGTACAATCTTGTGTTTTTAGAGTGTAGCCTCATGACCATTTCCTTATCACAAAGCAAACATAAATGTTCTATCTGAAGGACATGTGATGTAAGGAGGAGCAATACAGGCTGGTAGAGAAGTGGTTACTCTGTGAAATCTCTCTGATTTTGCATCGTTTATTACTTGGTATTATCAGATGCATAAAGATCTCTTGTTTCCATGGAGAAGCAGCACACAGGCCACCCCAGAGCTGAACTCGATGAACCATCTCCTTGTGAAACTTCTCAGTTGCCTGTAGAAAAAAAAAAAAAACACACAGGCACAGAATTAACCCCCAGTGCTGCCTGTTTCACCTCCACCGGAGCCCTCGACGGTCCCATCAGCTCTCATCCTGGTTTATTTACCAGGAAGCAGCTGAGCTTCGCAGGCTTTAAGAAAGCAGGAATGTATCGTCTATTGGGAGGGTTCTGACTGCCCCTCCAATGCTCAGCTTTAATCTGTTCTGGTGGACCATGTGTGGTCCGCTACCAGCAGGAGCAGAAGTAGTTTGGTATAACTGTCCACTGTTACTTCAATCTTTAAATAGTGAGGAAATAGTATGCTTTGTAATGCTTATATATGCATCTCTGTTAGCTTGCATATACAATCCTCTTCGGGGGTCTTTAATGGCTGTAAGGAAGTTTATTTTCTGTCTGGGGGCAACTTAGTTTATCCAAAACACAATATGACTTGATACTTTTACCTTCCTGCTCACTGAGCTCCAGCATTTACAGTATATGTTGCCGTATCAGTAAGGAAATATCAGTAGAACTTTGTAAAATGAAATCATTTTTGGATGATTTATGTCCTGCTTCATAAAATCACAGTTTGCGAGTTTTATCACAGTGGATGATGATTCTCCAAACTAGTCAAAGTAACAGGAAGTCCTGCAAACAATGTGACAAGAGGCGTGGGGAAAATCATAACATGATAGCTCCATTATAATTTCAGCCAGCTGGGTCTCATACTCTTTACTCATTATTTCTTCCAAATCTCTATATTGAAGCTTTTAACCATTCACTGTTTGGGGGAGTTGGATGTTTAAACCCAAAGTTAAAGACCTTTTAAGGAAAGATTAACGCTAATTTTGTTTTATTTTTGAGTTTTTACGGCACTAATGGCTCGTTTGTTGAACAGTAGGCTGACAGGAAAGGGGGTATAAGAGAGGGAGAGAGACATGAGGCAAAAGACCACAGGTCGGATTCGAAAACGGGTCAGCCGTGTGCATGCATGGCCCACTATTTGTCTTTTTTTAATCTTAAAATTTCCAGAGTCTCTGTTGTTTTATCACAGTTAGAAAGATGAATGAAGCAAAGTATGAACCTGACACTGTTTTAGATCCTAAACTGTGTGGAAAACTAAGTTCACCCTTAATAGTGGACTTTAATATGATTACTATTGTCTGCCTTCTTCCCCCATTAAATAATCAATCCTTCCTGCTGTAAACCATTCTGTTTTGCTATTAAAAACACATTTTTTCTATCTTCTAACTGATCCAGTAGCAGGTGAGAACATTCGATAACACTCGTTCCTGCTTGTTTTCCAGATGAGGAGACGCCCGGCCTGTATGGCTTCCTGCATGTGATCGTCCACTCTGCCACAGGATTCAACGAGTCAACAAGTGAGTCGTCAGATCAGAATGACCTTTTGTTTAATCCACCAAAACATAACATCCAATCAGTCATTGCAGTCTGTCAGTCATGCATGTTCAGTGTTTGTATGATGCATGTCGAGATGATTGAGGAAATATTGCAAAAAGGTGAAAGGAGGAAGAACAATTAGAAAGCCTACCCCCTTTTTTAATGACTGCTGGCTCAGAAAGCATTGTTAGAGTAAATATCATCCACGCTGCTTTCAGGGTAGAGCCAAACATGCTGAAATGCTTTGTTCACTTTCTGTGAGATTGACCACTTTAAACAACAGTTTCTTTGTGTTTGCTCTGAGCGCGGACAGCTCTGTAACAGCAAAGAGTGGCGCTGGGTAGAAAACCGCAGAGACTGTTTCAGACATGTCAGCGGAGGACAGCTGCTGCTCCAGTACATTTTGTTACCTTTGTTGCACAAATAGCAGATCAGATATCAGAGCTGAGACAGCGAAGGGGAGATATGACTTTTTTTTTTGTTATTTATTTCTTTTTCCAGTTACCATGACAGCCCTGCTTCTGTATATAAGAGCTGGTCCACTAGAATGTGCCAGTTAATGGATTGAAAAGCTTTCTATGTCTGCTCTGAAAGACAGTTTGATCCTCGATGGAGCGGAGGGAGCTGATGGGTTGAAACATGGTTGCTTGTTAGGATTTTGTTTGGTGTGTCTAGTGAAGCATGCAGATTCAAGGTGGGGTACGGCAGCTATGGTGAGGGATAGGTTGTGTGTCAGTGATGTTCGAGGTCATTCTGATAGTCCTATCTCATTTTTTCTTTAAGGTTTAACTATCTTCATTCAATGTAACAGTTAAACATAACAAAGTACTTAACAAGTGATAGTTAATACTGTTTAAAAGAAGCTGAACTTATTAAAGGAAGTTATTTTGCAACCAGAACAGATCAGATATGGAGACGGATGGTTTTGTGAAACACCAGAGATGCAAGTTAACACACATAAAAGGAGCTGAAGTCAATAAACTGATAAAAGAATCAAAGGTTTATAAGTTCCTCTTTTTTCACATAGTGAAAACATTCAGAATTTCTATTGCTGTACAGCTTAATTAGAGTCCCTTTCAGGATCTAAATGCATCTCAAATTAGTATTTTTTTACCATTATCCAGTGGTTGTCCTTCCTCTTTTAGAGATAAAGCTCATCAGTATGTAACAGAAGACATTACTGTTTTTTTTTTATTTGTGTCAAAACAATCTCTGCTCAGTGGGAAAAGGGGCTTTAAATTCAGCCCAGGGCAAAAGTTAGTCTAACTGGGTCACAGCAACAGAAACTGGGAGTTGAGCATGTCACAAAAACTGCTCGTTAAAAAAAATGAAGAAAATGAAAAAAGTCGATCCTAGTGGAAAAAAGGTGGAAAACACATCAGTCGTTTATTCTGACGTTTTTATTTTGGTCTTAAAGTGACAGGAAGCTGCATCAGGTTCTGCAGCCTGTGCTGTGCTTCATAAGAACAGATCCAGATAAGAACAAGTAGGCCAAACAGTGAGAAACGCATAGAATAATATCTGCTATAACAAAATAGAAACATGGATAACAGTATGTTTTTATACTTGTTTCAGTCCTATGGGTTCTGCCTGGACTGCCTGCTTCCCATTCGTTGTTTGTCCAGCTTTTATTCATTGTCCCTTTCTGGGTTGAATGAATCGCTGCACTTCTTCCGGTTCTTCTTTTATTGTTCATCAAAGCAAATATTTCCTCCTAAATCCTTTCAGGGAACCCACAAACATCTGTTCTGGTGGCTGCGACAGTGGAGCCCTGATTTAGTTTTACTGATTAGCACTTGTGGACCCGCCGTGTTGAACCAACATTCAGCTTAGCCTTGGGCACAGATTAGCCCTCTCTGAGCAAACACACACACACATAACGGCTGTGTTACTTGGCTAATTAAGATGGAGGAGGATGGTATCCATTACCCGGTATTTAGGGGTCGAGACCCAGTGCTGACCGGTTTATCCCCCCCACCGGGTTAGCCTGATGATGACCTGCCAGGAAAATGAAAACTCATGGATTTTTGTCCTGCTTTTCAAAGCCCCCTGGATCCAATACAGAGAGACAAGCCTCTAAATATGCTTTCTGTGGTCGTGCTTATGCAGTTCTGGGACTATAAACCTTGACAGATAGAGAGGAAAGTCATTTTCAGAGAGCAATTCAGCCTCATTTTCACTATGAACATACTTGTGATATCAACAGCAGCTACAGTGACTTCAATATGTATGAATACTTCCAGAACCAACATGAGCCCCAAACCAAATCTTGTAGAACAAAGGTTCCTTCTTCAACCACTCAGTTGGAATAAAATAGTCCGCCTCTGTGTGGTTTAATCTCTGTATAGATCCAGCTGTTTGGCGAAGGCCTATAAAAGTTTGTCAGAGAACATTAGAGCACAAGCAGCATCAAGATCCACAAATGGAGGTGATATTTCAGGGAGAACATCAAGAAGATGTCTGCAGTGAATCCCATTTTACCCTTTGCTTCCTAATCCTTCCCCTTGCCCCTTAAAACGAGCCTACAAAGGGTAGGGTCTGAAGGGTAACCCCTAAGAATTGGGAGACCCCTTCAAAAATCACATCCAAACAGACGCAATGAGGTGTTGACAGAAATCTGTGGAAATTGTGCCGTCATTAGCTGTGACAATCTCCCTCTCTCATGGGCATTTTGCATCATTTTGTTATGCGACGATAAACGGAGGAATGTAAGAACAAAGCAACCTCTTTAATGCCTCTGGTGGATCAGTATGTAGGATGAAATGGAGTACATTAGTGTAAAAATGATAATGACTGTGTTACTTTCAATGTGAAGACATCCCCTCTTTTTCAACATAACATTTGTTTGTTTTTCCATGCACTTAAAGAAAGTAGGATGTACGACGTTATGCAAACAAGGTTTGCAGTTTGGCAGAGTTACATAAATTATGAATGTTGTTGATTGTAAGTGTTTTGGATCATGTTCAAAAACTTGAAATTTGACTAACATTAGCGTGGAAATCCTGTCGCACCCCTCTGTTGGAAGTGCATTTTGAAGGCCTATATAGGCCTACCATTTACCTCAACCCCTCAGTCCTAACAGGCATAGAGACACCTCTACCCCTACATATGAATATGCAAAGCGGAAGGGCTAAAGGCTGATTTATACTCAGAAACCAGGTCGTCTGCGTGTGTGTCGCAGTAATTACGAATGTCCCCACGCCCCTTCCACTGACAGTCTGCTGCACCTCTTCCAAATTGTAGGTGACCGCATACAGTGCAGCAGAAAGGAGGCCTCTAATTGGTCAAATCTACAGCCGCTCTACACTATGCGTATTTTCTGTTTGGTACCTTACTGGTTCTGTTTGTATGACCGCCATTGCGGAAAAACGGCTCATGAAGTTGGACCAGCTAGAAGAGCGAGGTGCAGAGAATGCTGGGATCCTTTTTCCACCTGGATCCCCGCTCTTTTTCGCCCTCATGTCCCTCCGTTGTCGCACAAACTTCCCCCCACTTCCAAAAATATCTTCGACAAGCTCACTGCGACACACTGCTGCGGTGAAATGGGATTCATGCTAAAAATACAGCAGAAATGGCTGTACAAGAAGTAGAAGTAGGTCTGATTCTGGAGAAGCTTAGGTGGGAGAATCTGAAACGAGTCATTTTGCTTTCCCACAGTCAACAGCAAAGGTACAGAAAACAGGTTCAGGGTGGTTATTAATAATTATAATCTAAATTGACCCAACAACCATAATCCTATAAATGGTTAAAAAACAAACCCTGCAGATCAGGCTCAATGTGTTAATGGGTTTGGCATAGATGTTTTAGATGTGTTTCTTTTGTGCACTGTCAGGGAAGATAGAAGTAAATAAAGAGAAGTATGGTCAAACTGGACGCCATTGGTCTTTTATATTTTTTAAGGAACTTTGATGACCAGTATCATTTTCCCTCCACCTTGTTCTTACCTTATTCTTCTGTTACTCTTATGGGAGTCTGTGACCAAAACTTACCATCAAACACATGGGAGTTTGTTGTTAACTAAATATGAGAAAGATCTCACAGTTTAAGGACTTATGGAAGCAACTGAAAAATTTAAGAAATTTGGACAAAAATGTTTCTCCTTTATTTTTTTTCTTTACAAAGATCACTATAACTTTTCATGTTCTATTTTTGCACATGTGTTGCTTCCTTAGCAGTTATTCCTCTGTTTGTAGGGACGTGCTTCATCTTTAAAGAATTTCCCCATATGGTCACATTATATTCTGCTCTGCTGAACTTTCTTCATATCACTTCCACTAATCTCTCCAACCCTGGGAGTAATTATGCCCAAAACTTTTCAGGATGCTGAGAAAATAAACAAAGATGGAGTCAAACCAGATGGAATAAGAATCCATGTTCCTCTATTAATGATAGGTCAGACTTATATATTCCTCATCAGCACGGCCTTGATTTCAGTTCAGGTCTCTCACTCCCTCACACCTATCATTGTGACCGTCCTGGTGAGAGGTTGTCACACGCTCCCATTAGTCTTCCAGGCAGAAGGAGGTAACTCCAGGGGGACAGGGTCCAGGCTGAAGACCCTTCCCAGACAGTCGGTAGCTCAGTCTGCAGGAGCAGCACTGAGGGAAACACATAAATGGACTTGAATGGTCGGTGTAAGGCATAGCGGGAGCTGCTGTCAGTGGAATGAGGACAAGTGGAGCAAAGTTGCTGATGCCGACTGTGTGGATAGAAACCATTAATTAACCATTAAATAACACATTTCAATCCATTTCCCAATGCCACATTTCATTTGTCTTATCCCACCTAAGTAGTTCAGGCTGCTGATTCTGTGCATTTTGCCTTCAATGAAAATGTATTTGTGTCCTTAAAGCAATCCGATCCAGTGGCTGCATTCAGGCCCACTTATTGACAGCTCCTTTTAACCTGATTTATCTAGTTTAAAGCCTCACTATTCATAATGTCTTCTAAACTTGTTTAACAGAGCTTTGAACCTTTCATTATTGGGCAAAACAGGGCATTTAAATGCAGCGTTAAAGGCCCTAGAATAATGTAACACCATTAACATTTCCTTCATCTATGTTGTTTTACCATAGTTGGAAAGAGGAATGTAACCAAGAGGTATGAACCTAATATTGTTTAGATCTTATTGAAACATTTTGCTGATCCTAAATTGAGTGGAAAAGTCACATCCATCCTTCCTGATTCCTCCTCATTGATTCGGTTCACTCCTTCCTTCTTGTCTCTGTTGTTCAACCTTCATATTTAAAGTTAGTAAAAATGTATAGGAGCTTTGTTAATCCAGGTTCCTTCTGTTTTCTTGTAGATTTATATTGCACCCTTGAAGTGGATTCCTTTGGTTACTTCGTGAGCAAGGCAAAGACTCGGGTCTTCAGAGACACCACAGAGCCTCAGTGGAACGAAGTCAGTCCCCCGACACGTTTCTCCCAGCGCTTTGCTTTCTGTTCAGCCCGCCGTTTTGATCTCCCCCCTCTCCTTCTGCGTTGCTTTGTAGGAGTTTGAGATCGAGCTGGAGGGCTCACAGTACCTGCGGATCCTGTGCTACGAGAAGTGTTACGACAAAAGCATGCTTAACAAGGACGACAACGAGATCGTGGACAAGATCATGGGCAAAGGGCAGGTCCAGGTGAGGCTGGTTTCTATACAAAACATGATGTTTGGCCTCCTTTTCTCTTCATGCGACGCATTTTAATGAGCCGTCTACCCTTTCTGTGCAATAAAGTGGTTTCATAGTGGCGGCTTGTTAAGAAAGTGGTTAAATTAATAGTCTGAGAGAGAATTCAAAGGGGGTTTCCACTGTTTAGATGTGAGAAATATCTCTTTAAAGTTCCATATTTAAGTGCAATCTGCCCACATGGTGAATTAGGGGGTTACATTCTGCTTTGCATCAATGCTGAGTTGACAGAATACTCCAATAAGGTACCAAGTTTCCATTTTTCCATGAACTATCTGGAAATCCAGCTTGGTCAAATAAAGTATTTCTCTTGTAATTTCCCCACAGCTCAGTCATCTGCAGTGTTTTAATCAGTAGAACCTCCCACCATGAATGTAGATCGGCTTTGCAGTTTGTGTGTGCTGCTTATTTATAACCCTCCCTCTTTTACTCTTCACACTTCAAAGAACTTATTTGTCGCTTTTAAACCTTGTGGAGGGGCTTCTTTTTTGGCATGCAGAGTCAACAGGTAAAAGAAGAATCCCTGACAGTTTTTTTCCTTACAAGAGTTGTGCTTCACATATCCAAAAAGTGGGACAAACAAGAATAGAACACTAGCGTGAATCCTATTAAAAGTATCTAGCGTTTTGTTGTTTCTCCTCACTCCTGAAGTTTCTGCTACAAATGTCTGAAAAATTTCCAACTTGCATGTGATTGTTCGCATTTCGCAGTTCCCCATTCAGTTTAATGATTGATGTCCTTGAGTTGGGCCTTTGATTTCCTCAGAATGACAGCATCGCAGCACCATACATGCATCCTTCTTGATCCACTTATGTTTTCGGTGCGATACTTCCACTCAGATTGCTTAAGTCTAAAGTAGCTGAACACTTTAGCCAAAAAACCCAGAGACTAACTGCTTAATAAACATCTATGCAACCCTGCATCAGGTGCTCTGCAGCCTTTACCAGGAAAAGTACAGATAGTTGTGTGAAAATGTAATGAGTTTCTACTCATTACATTTTCACACAAGTTTCTGTACTTTGTGTTCCTTTCAGAAGTAGGAAGAAAAATAAGTAATGGAGTAAAGTATAGATACCTACCGTAAAAAGGGTACTTAAGTACAGTAACGAAGTATTTGTACTCTGTTCCTTGACACCTCTGTAGCCCATCATATCAATCCCAGTAACAGCAACAAAAATGTAAATAGGTAGGATACCATTACACCGCAGTGTATGAGTAAACTGTGGTAGTGATACAGATCAGTAACCTGGATTATGTGCAACAATCTCAGATTCATGTTGAGCTTGTCAGAAGAGGTCATCTTTGATTTCCTCTTGCACCATATCTGACACCCTTAATGATATGAGGGCCGATCCACGAGCCAAATACTGCTGCTGCTGGGAATTTCCGCTCCCAGCCAAGGGGAAAAAATAAAAATAAACCAGCCACATGTTTGCTGGTTCTCTGTTATTGAAAGGAATCGGAGAATGGCATGTACTGTGTGAAACCCTCAGGGGGATGGAACAGTTTATCAAAGCCTCTGATTGCTCAGGAATCATCCACTGCAATGGGTCTTTGGTATGGGAATATAGATATATATATATTTTTTTGTTTTGTTTGTAAAAATTCCGAACCTCAAGCTTAATCTTTAAATGTTTTTTTTGTTATTGTTGTTTGTTCTGGGATGTTACCGTGAAACTTGTTGCAGTTAAACTCATTGTTATTGGTGCAGCTCAGACTCCACGCCTAGAGAGAAGCTGGTTACTTCTCTGATGACAGTTTAGAAGCTTTCAGTGTTTTCTGTTTCTCTCCAGAGACCATCTGATTTATTTAACAAGCTTTGCAGAATATTGGATGACCATAAATAGGCATAGTGGTCTGTAGGTTTTTTGGGGTTTTTTCTACCCACTGTTGAGAAGGTTGTTCTGTCTTCAGATGAAGCTTTAGTTTGTAGGTTTCTACCTTTTCTTTGAGTGATGTGTTTCACAGGGGTGTCCGATACTAATTTTTCATTTTTTTTATTTTTGATACAATACCGATATGCGTTTTGGCCGTAACCGATCTTGACATAATACGATATTATCAATCATACCAGGTTTTATTACTTATTTTATTCTGTAGAATGTTAGAAAAGGCTTGATTAAGTAATATTACTAAAACAGGGAACAAAAGTAAACAACAAAGGGTATGAAAATTACTAACCCATGTTAAATTAGCCTATGAGTTATAGAAATTTGGCAATAGCAGAGTGTTTCTATCAGCATGACAATATAAGAGATTTAGATTCCGACCGTTGAAATCTAATATTAGTGTTTTTTGGCTATATTGGACCGATATTGATATCGGATCAGGACATCCCTTTCAAGTATTCAACCCACAGAATATTCCTGAGAAGAACATTGCTACAGTTAAACATGATGGTGGCAGTATAATGCTTTGGGAGATGCTTTTTTTCTGGCAGACATGGGTAAAATCCTCACAGATGATAGAATGATGTTTAGAGATAAATATAGAAAATGTTCTGTAGCCTGTAAAGCCGGCCTTACACTGTACGGATCTTTTGCGCTTTTTGGGCCGATTCTCCAGTCGTGCGAGAATTTTCCGATTGGGCCGACTTTCAGCCTGATTGTGCTTCGTGCGGTATACAGTGGGTAATGAACACCTCCTGAAAAGAAATATTAAGGTTGGGAGAAAATCAAACATGTTTGAAATTCAGTCGGCCATCGTAATGTCGCATCAGAGCGTCGGGCCGCACAGTGTAAGAACATGCATCATCAGATGTGAACTTTTAAACCCTGCTGTTTCATCGTACAGTTTGAGCTGTAGCTGCGTGCAACGATTGAATTTTTTACATAGTGTATGCCCAGCTTTAGAGGTTTTCTCTAACCTTATGTGAGATCCAGATGGTAAACCTTCAAAAATGTGACGGCAGAGAAATCCTGTCGATGCTTGATGGAGTTTGTCCACATGGGAATAGTTAGCATTTATTTCCAACCTTGAAACGTCTGACGTCCTCGAGCCAAAGCACGTAACCTCTGACCTTTCAGATAAGGTTGTTAATCCTCCATCACCTGGTAACAGAGTCAGGGTTACATTCCTCAGGCCTCCAAAGATGTTCTCAAAAGCAGCTTAAAGAAGCAGCTTAAAAAAGTTTCTCTTATAACTCTAAATATGTATCAGATTTATGCAGCTATTCATTGGTTAAAGCAATTGGTCAATTTAATACATTGATTAAACTTTTAATATATTTTTGTAAAAATTCAGAACCTCAAACTTAATCTTTACGTTTTTTTTTGTTTTTTTTTACTCTGCCTGCTTTAATAAAGTGTCTAAAGTCTCATCAAAGTCCAGAACCTCAAAGTCCAAACTGTGCTCCTGTGGCCTTCCTCCTCTCTTACAGCACTGTATGGTTCCTCCCTGGCGAGCGGTTTGCTTCGGCTGTAGCCTGCAATAGTTTCTCTCAAAGCGCTGGTTATGTAACTGTTTAGATTTCAGTCACGGTGCTTTGAGCTGTAGAAATGCAACAAAGCTTAGAACTGGTAAACTCTCCTCTGTTTGGGCTTTCTATCTTTTGTATTCCTGTTGTATGTGTTGTCTTTGATACACGCCAGAGCTCATAGTCTTTTAAGGAAAGTTTTAGACTTTAAAATTAGATCCATCTGAAGCTGAGAGAGTCTATATTTCACAAATTGTTTTGCCCCCTTTTTAGAGCAAAGCGTTTGAGTGTTGGTTCAGATGTATTCATGTTTTCTAATCAATAGCAGGTCAGTTTTAAAGAAGAGACAATGACTTTTCTAAAGAAATATCATCACAATGCAGAATTCAGCTTTTCCCTCCATAAATCCCTGACATGATCCACATCAACACCACTATGCCCTGATGTCTGCTTATAGAAAACCTCCATATTTTTTTAACATCCCATTTTGTGCGTATCACATTGCTGCAGCTTACATTTGATTATCTTATTTCTGGAGAATGCAGGGTCTCCTGTAGAGTTATGTCCCCAGCAGAGGACCACCACCTCACCCAGCATGCAGCCCTGCAGGCCTCAGTAAGGTGTAACCTGATCGCTCTGAGCCGCTTCCCAGAAATAATGAAAGCCAGAAAAGTTGGATTACGGTTGCAAACAGACAAAGGGGTGATAAAGTTGTTTGTCTCTTGAAGCTCTTACCTCTTTCTTCCCATCTAGCAAGGCTACATGCATTAGCTCAGTGTTACAATAATTTGAAGCTGTGGTTGCAGAGGGGTTGTAAAGTTTGAGGCAAGCACTTTCATTTCCACTTTAGAGGGTAGGGTTCTTCTGATTTTACAAGGGGGCATTAGATGCAAAGTTTGGCGTGCTGTACAAATGGTTTTATTAGAGAAAATGCAACTGATGGGAAAGGGAGCAGCATGGTTATCTGGAGAATTGGCTTTAAAGAAAAAAATACAAATCAGGAGCTCTTATTACATTTTGATTGCCTTCATCAGAGGATTGTGGTCCAGTTCTGGTCTCTGTTGTAAAGCTTTGACCTGCAATCATCTCTGAAATGTATAATACAAACTATACCAGAAGACCATCCAATTAAAGCATTTTTAAACATCTTGCTTTGAGGGGGTACAGTGTTTTATTTGGAACCAAATATTTTCCTAGATAAAACTTTAAACTGGCTTTAGCATCTATTATCAGCGCTTATTACGTGTTTACTATAGGTACTGTGATTATTACCAAAGTCCAGTATCTTCAATGCCTACGGCTACGTCACACTACAACCAAATGTGACAAATGTGGGTTTTTTTGAGTCATTTGCTTATATCAAAAAAATGTTTACGACAGCCTGAACAGACCAATGCAGAACTTTTTTACCCTTCTAAAGTAAAACAATTGGAGCTACTTTTATATTTGGTATTAAATCAGATACCTATCTGATGACTTTCAAAGTGTCTTTAGTCAGAATGTTCAGGTTTCTGCTTAGCATTTCCCTCTAGATCAG